AATAAATCAATTATTAATAATAAAATTACTACTGTATATCAATATATAATTTTATCATAGCAAAAATGTTCTTGGCAAAAATAAGTAATAGCTACAGCAACGTAGTCTTTTAAAATGATCTGCGCTGTTTCTGATTGGGCGAAATTGCCAATCACAGAGAAAGCCCGCTATGTTGGCGCATATATGGCGTTACTATTAAGATCGACAACCAATCAAATGGATCTTCCACCATGCTAATTAGCATGCACTTACTATAAGTCCCCATTGTGGAGCTAGTACATTTAAAGAGGTGCTGCATTTAGGGGAGTCTACGTACGTAACTGTATTAAAATTCAACATAGCAAATGTTATTATATAATTATTTCAGATATAGTATATAAAGTGTAAACCGGTCCTAGTTATCATAAAAAGATATAATCCCGACAAACCATTTTATATAAGTTGCATGCTGTCGGAAATTGATACGTAACCATCAAAACGTACATTTCAAACAAATCATCAGTTTTCTATCTAACGCTAATAAAGACTAAAGTCGAACCTAAACACAAATTACTAATATAGATAGAAAAATTACCTCATCTTAAAAGATTGCCATACAAACTAATCGGTCCAGATGATTTTTGTGATGATATTTAACTAATATTGTCTTATGTTTGACCTAATCTAAATTTATAATCAAAATTTCGAATCTAAACTTTTTAATTATTGATTGGCTGCGAAAAATAATTGGAAGATGTTAACCCTAACCCTATTTTTAGCCAAAATACTATTTCTATCTGCCTGCGTAAACAGCCTAGTCACATCAAATATTTTATACAATTCAAAGGATTCTTTTCTAAAAATTTAATTGCAAGAAAATATTCAAGTAGTCTTTAAACAATACATTTTAGTTTTAAAATTTTTTAGAAAAATTGGACGTTTAAAAGCAAATCTAAATATGCGACTAGATCATCCTTTAGTTCTTACCAATATACATAAAATTGATAAAAAAAAAAAAAAAAAAAAAAAAAAAAAAAATAAAGATGATCGATAATTTTCAATTCATCTTTAAAGTTTAATTTGAAAAGTTAAATTTATATGCGATATAATAAAAAGAATAATGGTAAATGTATCACTATTAAGACTCGCTAATGTACAAAAATTCAATGAATTAAAGCGAGCCGATGTAAGAAGACGTGTTTTTCAATAAAGCATAATTGGAGATATCGTCCAAGCTAATGTTTCAACGGAAAAAAAAAAATCTGCATCACATTTTATGCGTACACAGATAATCGTTTGTCTCATCACTGATGCATTTGTCCTTTTTTTGCTGAGTCAGGGAAATCATAATTTTACTCATTGCATTACAACAATGTCACATGGTTTCAAATATAAATTTTCTTTTTTTTTTTTTCATCGAAGATTTGATCGTTTAAAAATTTTTCATATTATTATATTGCCACCATGACCAGATCTTTTACAGTCGATGACGTTGCTCAACATAATACCCAAGATTCCATCTGGATCATTGTTCATGATAAAGTATATGATGTAACGAACTTTTTGAACGAACATCCTGGTGGCAAAAAGGTCTTGCTCAAGGTCG